TTTTTTTTTGAATTTTTTAACTTGCCACTATTCAAATAAAGAATAGTGAATTTTTACAATTTCTACAACTCTTATTTTGCTTACTGAAAGCATGACTTAGCTTACCTGTGAACTGAAGTAATTAACGATTCAGTTTCTTAAGGAAATAACAAAGAAGTCCTTTAAAATTCGCTGTCATAATCATGAGGTTATTAACTTCTAAATCTTTTAGATAATAAAAGGTACTAAGGCTGCCCCTTAAATGTCTTCTGTTCTAAATTAAGGGGGTGCAAATTCGAGGGAGTATGATACCTGTCTGTCTGATGAACTCTAAAAGCACTTAGGAAGTCTGTGAACTTCACTGTGTTGGTCAGGTTTTTCAGTGCAGACTACACTGAGCACAGGCACAAGTTATTCAGTTTGGTGCAATTTTCAGAATGCAGGTGGTTTTGTTGGCTATGCAGGATATATTCCATAGAAAGTGTGTTCATTACAGCTTGTTTTACATTGTTTTTTAGCAATGAATCCAAAGAGTACAAAAAGATTGCAAAGTCCTGCAAGCAATCCAAAGGTCCCAGAGGTTGTAGTTACTGTTGGAGAAGGTATGGAACAAATATTTATAAATGCTGTTTTAGTGTAAAAAGGTCTCAAACCCCACAGTTAACATACCAGTTCTAATCTTCACCTCATATAGCAGACTTCATTTCAGGACTCCAGATACACTCCAGCTTAGATAACAGTTTTGCTTGTCCTTTTTGAATAATACTGGATTCTGAGAAAGTAGTGGTTGTGACTGCTTTCTTGGGCCTTTTATTCCAAGTAGTGATACAGGTATGACTAAAGTCCTGAGCAGAGAATGAGGGATATGAGCAATACTATGATATACTTAAATTCAACCCTGAAAAAAAAGTCAAGATTTTCATTGCATTCTTAATGCAGCACAGTTCTTTCTATTGGTATGGTGTATTATCCTTTTCATATGATGGATTGTTTCTGCTGTCTGCATGTATGTATATAATGTGTTTCTACAGGTCCCAATAAACCACAAACAACAGCTGTTCAAACTAATTCTCAAACCAATGGATCCAATATGTGTTTCAAGCCACGAGGAAGAGAATTTTCCTTTGGTAAATACTTACGTGATTTAGCATGCATATGTTCTATTAATGTCATCATTGACAATTTTGGCATTTTTAATATGAGAAATTCCTTGCATTTATGTTTTATTCTACAGTTAGAGAATGATGGAAGTTCTTGTTTTCATCCACATTCAGTTCTCCATCATTTAGAACAATGTGCACTTGGCCCCTATACTCATAAAAGAATTCCTTACTCATATTTCTATGCAGTTTGCAGACTGATTGCCATTTTGCTTATTTTCATTTCATAATAATCTGTTAGCAAGCATAATAAGTCATTTATTAAACATTTATAAAAAACATTATTTGAAGATAGATTAATTTTGTGAATGATTTACTGCTTTCCATTTTCTCCCGTCAGAGGCTTGGAATGCCAAAATCACCGACCTAAAGCAGAAAGTTGAAAATCTTTTTAGTGAAAAATGTGGTAAGTTTACCAATTCCTTTATCAAGATGCCTTTCTTATAAATGTACTGTTAGACGTATCATGGATGTGTTCATATACTTACTTTGAAAATTTTACAATCCTTGCATAGTGTAGGCTGTGTTCTCTCATTCTTACATAATTTGCTTATAGTTCTGTGTCAAATTTCCACTTACTTTATATGGCCTTGGAAATGGAGAAGCTATGGTTTGATTTCTACTTTTTTAATGACCCAGTTGTTGCACGTGTTGGCACATTTCTAAGCATTCTTCATTCTACTTAGGAATGAGAATTTACATTATTTCAGCTGCTGCATGACTCCATTCATCATGGATGGTACCTGGAGGAACATGTAACCCATCATATTCAGTCTCTTTCTACAGCAAACTGTTTGGAAATTAAGGGCTTTATTACATACAGTTGATACCTGATATGTTTTGCTTGTAAACACATCAGTGGTCTAGCTGTAGCTTATTTGCTGTGTTGCATTTCAGGGGAAGCACTGGGGCTGACTGAACCAGTGAAGGTCCCTTTTGCATTATTTGAATCCTACCCAGAAGATTTCTTTGTGGAGGGCCTACCAGAGGGAGTGCCGTTCCGTCGACCTTCTACCTTTGGAATTCCACGACTAGAGAAGATCCTGAGAAACAAATCTAAGATTAAATTCATTATTAAAAAGTAAGGCCCCCATATGTCTCTGACAATTTATTCTATTAAAGCTGAACTGCAGCCTGAGAAATAAAATTCATTTGGTGAATTGCTAAATTTCTTTAGTCTAAAATACACACTGGAATATTTCTGGTAACCCAGGAAATGTGCAGAAAGCATTTATGTATGAGGAGCAAAGGTATACTGATTTGTTGTTCAAAAAGATAGTTACAAGCTATGTAGTAGGGAAGAGCTGATCCAGATTTTGAAGTTCATTTCAGTTAGCAGCACGTCACTCTTAATTCCTATTATGTGGAACTGCTGTAGGCTACACTTAGCTAAAATTTGACAGCACTATATTAAGGACAGAGAAGGGTAAATTCATATGCTTGGAGTTGTAAGAACTGATTTGTCTCAACTAGAATAGTCTTAAACATCTGCGTTCCAGCATGGATGTAAGATGGCAAGAGAAGTTCTGGAGGTTTAACCACTGTATCGTGGATCATCTGGTCTAGGAGAATGCTGTGTGTACAGAATCAGTTTCTGTCTTTAAAATATCAATATTAGAATATTGCATTTTCTTAATTGTTGATGAAATGAATGTAATTTTGCTGTTGTGCATGAAAAATTCAATCTGTTTGCTTGCAGGCCCGAGGTGTTTGAGGCAACACTTAAGGAAAATTCTGCTAGAAGCCCCCAAAGTGAGTTTTATGTCTGCTTAGTATTCTAGATAATAATCTCTTTCAAGGATTAAAACCAGATGAGAAGTGCTGTTTGGTGTTAATAAACTCCTGAAAAATTCATTCTATATTGTGATTGATTTGGCTTTTCCTTTAGAAGAAAGGAGAATGTTACTGGGCTGAATTTGAGGCACAATCTTAAGTGCTGTGCGACCATCCCATATCTGTAGGAGATCTCTCCACTTTCAGGACTATAACACTACTACATTTTTTTTTTTTT